GGTTTCCGAACGGCGCGACGTAGCCGCAACAAATTTTGCGCAGCTGTAGAAAATTTAATAGTGGATCGTTTGACATCACCAATTTATACGTGCCTTGTAAGGTCGCTGACCTATGGCAGGTCAAAGTCAGGCCATGGCTTCAGCGAAGGCAATTTCTAGGGAATCCTTCAATCTGATCCAACAACGGAGTGTTAGGCGAAGCCATACACATCTGAGATGCTTTCTTAAGCACCACAACAGTTGAATGAGCAAAGTACATTGACCTAAGGTCAGGTATGAAGGTCACACCAAGGTCAAAACCACCTGTTTTGTTACTCTAGGGCTTGTTGTATGGGATAGTTTCTGGTGCTCATTTCCAGTTTATTGATAGCAGGAACTGCATTATCCATCTTCCATGGACTTCTTAGAGGTCATAATAGGTCATTGACCTAGCATTACCTAGGTCAACATTTTGGTTCAGGAACATACTACCTAGCGTAATCTTTGTCGCATAGTCAAATGCAAAACTCGAAGCAATCTTGTATGAGTTTGGTCAGCTCGACCTTCAAAAGGTCAAACAAGGCCACTGACCTTAAATGAGAATGTGACCTTTTGCCTAGAAACGGTTATCTAGGTTCTGGGGCACCTTGAAGACCAGGCTGGGAACTTGACCTTATTTGACCTTTTTTTACTCGAAGGTCATGAACTAGGAACCTGAAACTTTAACCTATTACATACGGGTCAACACACCCTGTAAATTTGGTGTGTCTAGCTTTCTTAGTTCCCGAGATGTCAGCGGAGGGGGTCAAATTGACCCCCACCCGAGCGAAGGGTATCTAGCCGGCCACCCGTGGCGCGTGTTAATGACTATGGAAGCTTCCGCTTCGTTTACGAGAACAGGGTGCCGTGGTGGCAACGAACTGCCTAGCGTGCCGTTAGAGCTGTCCTCAGATTTATACGTTGACGATTCTTTCCAGCCCTAGGTTTGACACGATTTGATATGGTGACGATCGCTGACTTCCCTTTTACAACGTTTGCCCTAACATCGCAGACATTTGGCAAAGAAAGCCTAACACACGTTGAAAAGCCCTGAAAACCCTTAGAATTGCCGCAAAAAACAGTTGAAATTCTGCCCATGCTCTGGTTTAAGTGCCCAAAAAAAACTGAATCAAAAGTTGTCAACCTCTTGGTGTGTAGAAACTCTGTCTTTCTTAACACTAGACCATTTTCAAGCATGGTTTGGTTAAGAAACGTGTGTACAGGTATGCAGTAGGCATACGGATTGCAATGACAGCATGGTGCAAGCAGTCGACGATCAAACAGCGAACAATGATTGCTGCGTCAGGGAGACCAATGTATCTGCTCAACTCCAATGGAAACGAACATAACCAACGACAAAAGCCCATTCCGTATGCCTGCCAAAAGATGGCCGGCGGTTCATTGTCGGAGTTCTATAAAGCGTCGTCCGACGCGAACCCGCTCAACTCTCCTTCATCAGTTCGCTCAAAACCACAGCACTGGCAGGCGGACTAGTGCCACTGTCAGCAGCCCACATAGTACAGAACGCCACGCCTTCTTTTACGCGGCGCTTTGTCTTGGGTTTTTTAATCCCGATCGGCACGATGCAGCCCATGGTGTTCGAAGCTAATTGGCAGCCCAGTGTCGCGGCGCGCGAAAGCCGGTGACTGTCGTGCGCTCACGGCGAGCCAGCTGGCGTCCACCTTGTGATCCGGAGTGGTGCGGAGTCCGTGAGGAGTGCCACGGAAGGAGTGAGCGGACTCGGCGAGGCTTTCCCTAGAGTTTGTGCTTTAATGAACTGAAGTGCCTCTCACATCGGTAGCGGAGAGGCAGCGAGCACCAGTGCTTAAATATGGTGTTAATAATATCATGTGCACAATTGTCTGATCATCTTGACTCACATTCAGCAAGCGTGGTGACTGCTTGCGGAAAGCTGCACTAAGCCAGCGAAATACACGGCCCGTCGATGCCCAAAATGGCCTTTGACATGTCCATGGTTAGATCCATGCAACCCCAGGGTCTAAATGAAAATTTCGTCTTTAGCGGTGATCAAATTTTGCAGGGTGATACGTCTGCACTGTACTGACATCCTGGAAGCATACCATTCGTATGCTCGCTCGCTAGCGTTGACGAGTGCGGCAATGGCGTGGCGGCCTCACCCAGGATCAGCTGTCGGCCGGACTCCGGGCGCGGGAGGCGCGCCGCGCTGCAGCGTGCAGAGTCGGGACCTGTTGGGGGGGCGCCGGAGCGCGGCCGGCCCGGCGCGGCCCTCGTCCAAGGCCACCCGCTCGCGGCGGCCGCCTCAGCTCCGCCCGAGCGCGGCGGCTGGCCGGGAGATCCCAGGCGCGGCCTGACCGGGATACACACGACTTCAGCCTGCGCTCTGTGGCTGCCAGGATCTCAGCTGCCACCGGCGGATGCATTGGGCCTGAACTGGAAGTTTCTGACCTGAACTGCGGCCTTGTGGCATGACTGCGATCCATCGGAGTCAAGTGTGCTGCGATGCCCAAACAATCTGGGGTTTTCTGATACGGCTTGGAATCTCCCAAGCTAAAAGGATTGACTCCTGGCGTAAGCTGTAATTTCCTGTCCCCGCCCCATCTCCGCGCTAACTTGCGATCCTTGAACAACCGGCAACCTTTTTGCCTACCGTGCGATGTTCTGATCAAGCCGCACTAGCTGGCTGTCAAAGGCATTACATGCACTTGGTGGCAGCATTCTTTCCCGCATGCCGTATCTCTGCACGCCTCTGTGCGTCGTACGTGCACGTTGAAACAAAGCGGATTTGCAGCACACGACTGGCTGGAGGCAGCCAGGGCTGACCTGACCAGGCTGGTGACCGGGCGACCGAATGCGGGTAGATGAACTCTGGCTGACGCTCGTGGTCCGCGACCAGCACTGAGCGTGCCCGCTCTACGGTTTGGGTGAAGCAACGGTTTTCTGTTTTGGGGCATTTAGATCGTGAAGGGAAATGCTGCATTTATTGACGTGCCGCCCGCGCTCTCAAATAGAGAGGCTCTAAAAATGCCCCGATTAATGAGGTGAGAGCGCCAGTTCTGTTGTTTGCACTTGTCTGCGGGAGCAAACGCGTTTTGCCTAGTTTATTTTTCACGCAACGTCATATAGTCAATATTCAACCCCCCATGGAGATGGGATCCATGCTCCTTCGCCTCCTCATCTTTAGCCACTGAACTCAACAACGTTGACATTTTGAAAAGGATGGGCAGAACAGAATCCGCTTTGCGCTGACAACTGGTTAGTGAAAACCAGACAGCGGGCCTGGCCATGGCGGTGTTTGTGATGCTGGTGTGTTCTTCTGCATGGTCGGCGTGTTTGCGGGCTGCGTCGCAGAGCGGGGGACGACCGGTTTCTTGCAAGGCTCCAAGGCCCTAGAACTACCGCAAAACACCAAGGTCCTGGAACTTCCACAAGGCCCAAGGGCCTCGAGCTTGGTCGCTATCACTGTCGCCGTCAAGCCAGTTTTCAAATCCGCCAGACCAGTATTTCTTGAACTGTTCTCCGGCAGCCAGCTATGGTTGCAGGAAAGTTAACAAGACAGTAAGCGGCAAGGTGGATAAGCTTTGAACACAGCCACCACTGAATAGAAGAATTCAGTGGTGGCATTATATGTTTCCCTTTGCCACTAACTTCGGCCTGACCCAGGCAACGGATTCAATGTTATGAGGTCGGTTTTAATACAAATGTACTTATTTTTCGGACTTCCCTTCTACAATGTGCTTAAGACAAACCTAAAACCCAAGAATGATATGGCATGCAAACCTGTGCCCGCTGTGTTTTGCAGCTGCACCTGCTCCAGCAGTTGTTACACAGGAATACAGTTTCCTATTCTGTTGGGGTGAGGTGGGTTTGGAAGGGTTTCAGTCCCCTAACTTTGAGGAGATGGTGGCGCCGAATCCCGGTGAAAACCCCGTTTCTTTTGGTGTGTCTTGGGCATACAGTCGCCAGTATGCACTGCTCAATTCCTCACCCCCAAACCCATTTTGTAAGCTAACGTCGCTTTGTCGCCATGCCTGTTCTGGGCAGATAGGCTGGGTGGGCCCCACGGCCATCTATGAGTCAGTTTGGAAACCGGAGAGCTCGCCAGGCGACACGGTGGATGTTGAGAAATTACCGGGTTGGAGACGTCACCACCCGCATTGAGAAGCGCTAATCACCAGCCGTACGGACAGCGACAGTGAGGCGCGTGTCAGTCAGCCGCCGTGTGCAGTGCATAGGGGCGGGGCCCGTGGGGTCGTGATCGAGCCCGTGTGGTCATGACCGGACCCGTGTGGTCGTGACCGAGCCCGTGTGGTCATGACCGGACCCGTGTGGTCGTGACCGGACCTGTGTGGTCGGCACCGGGCCCGTGTGGTCGTCACCGGGCCCATGTGGTCGTGACCGGACCCGTGTGGTCGTGACCGGGCTTGTGTGGTCGTGACCGGGCTCGTGTGGTCGTGACCGGACCCGTGTGGTCGTGACCGGGCTTGTGTGGTCGTGACCGGGCTCGTGTGGTCGTGACCGGACCCGTGTGGTCGTGACCGGACCCGTGTGGTCGTGACCGGGATCGTGTGGTCGTGACCGGACCCGTGTGGTCGTGACGGGCCCCGTGTGGTCGTTACCGGGCCCGTGTGGTCGTTACCGGGCCCGTGTGGTCGTGACCGGGCCCGTGTGGTCGTGACGGGCCCCGTGTGGTCGTTACCGGGCCCGTGGTGGTCGTTACCCACCCGGGCCCGTGTGGTCGTTACCGGGCCTGTGTGGTCGTCACCGGACCCGTGTGGTCGTGACCGGGCCCGTGTGGTCGTGACGGGCCCCGTGTGGTCGTTACCGGGCCCGTGTGGTCGTTACCGGGCCCGTGTGGTCGTTACCGGGCCCGTGTGGTCGTCACCGGACCCGTGTGGTCGTTACCGGGCCCGTGTGGTCGTCACCGGGCCCGTGTGGTCGTCACCGGACCCGTGTGGTCGTTGCCGGGCTCGTGTGGTCGTGACCGGGTGCTGGCGTTGCAGTCTCTTAGAGGGGCCAGCGGCTTCCTGCGCAGCACTCTCGCAACGCTCCTTTCTCACTTTCCCGCTGAGTATGCTATAGGAGATAGACGAATGTTTAAACGCGTTTTAATGCTCTATAGGCTTACGCCAAGGCATGGCCTCCAGCGACGGGGAAGGACTGTTGCCAGTAAGCGACTCACGGCATGCATTGCGTTGCATTCCGAGGTGGTTTTGCGAAACAAGTTGTGTATCGAACATTGGATACGTATCGCCACAGTAAATGGGCAGCAGCCACACCTTTTCCAATTTTCTACACTGGCTTTTACGACTTCGCCCGCTGCTCTCACTTCATATGACAGCCGCTTCGCTTGTGCCCTCCTGTGGTCCGTGCAGCCGACTCTTACCAGACACCTTTAATTGTGATCACGCATGCGTCCACCAGCTTCACATCACCACGTGACATCGCCGCTACCACCAAGCCCGTGTGCAGCCGCGCTCAGCACCGCCCCTGCACCGCCATTGTGACCTGGGCGACGCAGAAACGCTGGTTTTCGTGCCGGGTCGCGTTGCGACAGCGGCGGAGGCAGGTCGAAGCGAGTTGGCGCGCCGGGCGGCGACACGTTCGCGGTCGCCCCTCCCCCCCCCCCCCCCCGACCGTTCACCTCAGCCGGCCGCGCTGCCGCGCCGACAAACAAATTCACAAACGCGCTGTGGAGAAACCTGCTGGCCAGCAAAAAGCCGTTGGGCGACACGGAGGAAACCCGGCAAACAGGACAACCTGCGACATACTCGATCAGCGGCTGAAGGAGGTTGATGCAGCATGTGGAGCAAATGAAGTGATGACGTAGGCGGAAAAAAGGAGCAGGACGCCGGACACACAATGTGTGCACAAAAATGCGAGACAAACGGAGGAAGGGCGATAGGGAGCTGGAAGGAGATAGGGGCGAGGAGGCAGAAGCGTAGGGACGTCTAAAACATTGTGAGGTTTGCTCCTTCTTAAAGTCAGCGCCTTTCACACGCCATCTTTCACCGTTGCTGGACCAGTATTAGACCTTCACGAAAAGAAGGGGACTGCAGTCCCTCTTTCTCTCGTTCCCATGCCTATTACCAAAAGTTAGAGGACAGAAATGACTTGTACATATGCGTAATAAGGGCAACTTTCATACATTGATGTCGTGTTTGCGGGCAATTCACCGAGGGCATGATGACTGACGTCAGTCAACATCGCTAGTCTTGAGGGAAGTTCCTTCGAGCTGCACGCCCGCCCATTGTGACACGGGCGATTGATAACATATTTAGAGGGCACGCAGAGGTCAAACTAAAATCAGCGGATGGTTTGAGTCAGTTCGCGTAGTTGTAACGCCTGACTTGAGATAGTTCAGTAGCGTTTTGCATCAGATGCCAATTTAGATCGACCAGCCCATAATTTTTTTCCCTCCCCACTTCCTGCCGTTCAACCAGATTTACGACATCCGCTGCTGTAATTGATGTAGGAGGCATAAACGTGAGGTAAGCAGAGACACATTAATTTAAATCTCACCTGATCACAAAACTCAATACCCTGTAGGGTCCCAAGATTCTCACCCCGCGTCCCTGGACGCACCCTGAAGAGTCCCGAGATCCCCCATGGAGCGGCCCTGGATTCACCCCACAGAGTCCCGAGATTCTTACCCTGCGTCCCTGGACGCACCCTGAAGAGTCTCGAGATCCTCCGTGGAGCGGCCCTGGATTCACTCCGCAGAGTCCCAGGATTCTCACCCTGCGTCCCTGGACACACCCCTCAGAGTCCCGAGATTCTCAGCCTGCGGAAGCGGAAGCGGGAAGCATGCCGATGCGAACACTGCCCAGCTCGTTCTCGCAAACTCACGGCGCGAGACAAAGTGGCCGAGTTCTGCTGGTCTTAACATGACGCGACCTGAACAGGCTGCAATAGTGCGTGCGCGCCTTGTTTGCAGGGAGGAGCACGGCAAGAGGATTTCTATCATACTCGACATGGGCAACGCCGGGCTCTCCAGCGTCGACCTTCCCTTCATCCAGGTCCTGATCAACATGTTCAAGCTGTACTACCCGGACATGCTCAACTACATCATCGTCTTCGAGATGCCATGGATAATGAACGGTGGGTGGTCCAGCTTCGGCTCCTGATGCCCACCACTCTGTCTATCTGGATGACCCCGGGCCTTCAGGTGATACACATACTGAGCCAAGACTAGTGGAACATGGGCAAGGGCTGGGGCTGGGGGACAGCGGCCAGCTTTGCTTTGATGTAGACGTGGAGCAGCTGTATTAGGCCTATCAGGAAATGTAGGTAAGGTGCTTCTCTTTCATTTCCTTTGTATCATTTGCCAGGATTGGACATATCGATATTGACAGGGTATTTCAACTTAATATACTGACGTGGCAAACATTTAGCTCCCTCTCGGTCATGTCGATTAGCTACTTATGAGTTGTAACCGCGTTACTATCACCATAATGCATAGCGTGTCCTTTACTTGCCACCCCATGCGGTGCTGGCATTGAAGTCAAAACACACGGCACGCTCGATCACTCGCTGTAGGGACGGACCGAAGGCCGGGGCAGCGAAAACAAAAACACGCGTAATGGAATGAAGTGAACATGGCAACGGGACTTCCTTATTTCCGTTCCACGCGGTACTGTTTTTAGACAGAAACTGACATACTACAACGACTTTCAGGCCAAAAATGGTCCCCGCCTGACATCATTCAGTTGTCTTCCTGTGTGGTGTTATTGACGATTGAAAATTTGCAAAAAAAGCAACAACAAAAACTGAAGGGCTGTTTGTCTCATTATATCCGAAACTTGATAGGGGCAATGTGCGTTTCGCATCAATACTAAAAGTTAACAATGCAAATGTGCCAGACAGTGACGTCACGTTACATCACTCTTCTGCGCCGTAAGCCGTCCCCGTTGATGTCGGTGTGCGAGCTCGCAGTACGGAATGAGCTCCGGTCACGTACCGCCTCTTGGTGCTATCGATGGGGTCTACTTCGATACGGCGGTATTCTGTGGCCCAGTGCGAGGCTTGTAACTAATATTGAACATCATGAACAAATGACAGCGCGACCAATGACGTCCGTGCATTTCACCCGCCTTACACGCGTCCAGACAAGAGAGGCCAAACTTCCCAGTCATTTTCCTGTGCTGCTTGCCAGCCTGCGGCTGAAACTGGCAGCGCTGGCAAGGGCGTCAGCCTGCCGCTCAACGCGAGACAACTGAAGGCAAAGCTGGGATTTCCCGGCCACAGTGCGCCTCATTCCGGACCGGTGACATCACGTCAGATTGAGCCCCACCTACTGAGGCCTGAGGTGCTGCGCGTGAGGCCCCACCTGCTGAGGTCTGAGGTGCTGCACGTGAGGCCCCACCTACTGAGGTCTGAGGTGTTGCACGTGAGGCCCCACCTACTGAGGCCTGAGGTGCTGCGCGTGGGACCTCATCTGCTGAGGTCTGAGGGGCTGTACGTGAGGCCTGAGGCCTGAATATGGGACAGAGACGGCACGTACCAAGTCCCCCCACCGGTCAAAGCATACCCCTTGAAGTGTCGTTTTCATGTTGTCTAGCTCCGCGACTGGAGCCAAGTGTCCGCCCGAATTTACACGGCTGTCAGACGTAGGAGCAGACATATCGATTCAGCTAGCACTCTCGTGAGAGGACAGGCCGATTCAGTAAGCGCTCTCGTAAGAGGACTGGCCGATTTAGCTAGCGCTCTCGTGAGGGGACATATCGATTCAGCTAGCGCTATCGTGAGAGGGCAGACCGATTCAGTAAGCGCTCATACCGATTCAGCCAACGCTCTCGTGAGAGGACAGGCCGATTCAGTACGCGCTCTCGTGAGAAGACAGGCCGATTTAGCTAGCGCTCTCGTGAGAGGACAGGCCGATTCAGTAAGCGCTCTCGTGAGAGAACAGGCCGATTTAGCTAGCGCTCCTCGTGAAGAGGACATACCGGATTCAGCCAACGCTCGGGTAGAGGACAGGCCGATTCAGCTAATAGCTCTCGTGAGAAGACAGGCCGATTCAGCTAGCGCTCTCGTGAGAGGACGGGTCGATTCAGCTAGCGCTCTTGTGAGAGGACAGGCCGACTCAGCTAGCGCTCTCGTGAGAGGACATACCGTATTCAGCTAGCGCTCTCGTGAGAGGACAGGCCGATTCAGCTAGCGCTCTCGTGAGAGGACAGGCCGACTCAGCTAGCCTTCTCGTGATCCCAGCAGTGGGTTGCGATCAGTCATACTCATGAGCGTTTTGCAGCACAATTGATCAGGGCAGCGGGACAAGGTATGACTGACGCGAACAGCTAAACGCTGCCCGTCATCCCGTGATGGTGATCACAGTCTCCGTTTATTTCTGTCGTAACCAGATAACGCCGCGTTAATGATTGTCACTCCGCGTATAACTGCCTCACAGCCGCCTGGAAAGATCATCAAGCAGATGCTCCCCCCGAAGTCGCAACCAGATCATCAAGTTCGCCTCGAAGAAGGACATTGCCACCCTCAGTCGGCCGAGGACTGCCTGGAGCGGTGGGGAGGTGAAACACGTGGACCTTCCAGTACCGACGAGAGGAGTGCGAGATGCCACCGTCGCCATTGTTTGGGTCCCCGCAATAACCAGGTCAGTTGGCGCAACAACGGGGCGGTTTCACGCAACGCAGCAGATAACCACGGCCCAGATTTCTGACCCTAGCAACATCCGCCTGTCTCGTCCGGCGTGACAAAATGCGTAGTGCGGACCGTGATCGCGGTGGCACTCGAGCGCATGGGAAGGATCGTCATGCTGTGGAACATGTTACAACTGCACGCGGAAGCACTCCGATACACGTGGGGAGAGTGGACAGGGGATCCATGGGTGTAGAAACAGGGGGGGGGGGGCGGGGACCCACGGCCCCCAACTTTTAGGTGGGGGGGGGGGGGGGCAGCAGTATTAACTGGCCCCCGCACTTTTCTCAGATTAAGGTTGTGTTAGCTTACTTTTGCACCACATTAAAATCTATATGCCGATTTACCTAGTTCACCAGCCATCTTCCTCAAGATGCGTCATCTTTTTGTTTGCTTATTAGCCATCACTTAGTGCCACAGCCGCAGGCCAACGCCACGCGGCCTATTGAGCCTACAACGCCGGGAGTCCAGGGCTGTTGTTGCTAGGACTTGCGAACGCGAAGTTCAAGACCATATCACATAGTTTTTTTGTCATAATCAATCCTGACTGAAATTTGAACATTTTAAGACGAACATGAACTAGCCATGTTAATGCAAGCCTAGGGCCCATTTTATTTACAATGTGCGTTCAGGGATTCCTCAATGTCTCTGAAGAAAACAGAAAAACACGGAACTGGAGCCTATGTGACATTCTTGGATCACCTTTGGCGATCAGGGATGTTGTTGCGTAATAAGGGTTCCTGTGCTGATCCGAGGCCAACTGCGCGGGTCAGGTCTCCCGTATCGGGGGGGGGGGGGGGGGGGGGGGACAATGTGATATGATATATCCTTCCAATGGCCTCCGGATCGACCAGGAGATCCCGCTCCGTGCCGCCAAAATAACAAACCAGATGCTTCGCGATGGGACGGAGTGGCCGTTCAGCCCTTAAACGGAACCGGTAATATGCCCCCGATGTTCTACTCAATGGCCCTTTGCCCGGAAGAAGAAGGGGTCTCGTTATTGTTTATTAGAGTGTGACAGACTAGTTTAATCTGTCTTCTCGACAGATTATACAGTTACAGAAACACGAAATTATAAAATCTGCTCTACTCTTCCATTTCTACCACCAGACTCCAACACCACTTCGCGGTGCTTTAAGGGCCAATCCGTTCTTATCATCAGTCTAAAAATCGCACACGTGACATCTGCGCCCAGACTGCCTTCTCAGTGTCAGATTTGATGTTCTGAAGCGTTCAAGGATACTTCTTTCAGAAGGGTGATCATTTTCGTCCACCCGTTGGCCAAAGCTCAGTATTAGCTGTTAAGCCGACGCTGCGCGGCCAACGAGGACTGCAACGCCTAGCGTCGAGGTTTTTGTTACTAAGATTTGCGAGCACGCATGCTCAAAATTATGTCACATTTCTTTGATTTCTCATCGATTTAAGTGTTTAAAAGCAATTTTTCAGAACCGTTATCATTTTCGTTCATCAGTGAGCCACGGCAAAAAATCAACCACTCGGCTAGCGCCCTGCGGACTACCATGGAGACTGCAACGCCTGGTGTCGAGGTTTTTGTTGCTAAGATTTGCGAGCGCGCATATTAAATACCACGTCATATAGATTGTATCACTTATCACTTCTGGCTGAATGTTAAACATTTTCAGACAAACTTGACATTGCGATGTTAATACAAAATGTGGACCGCTCGATTTGCAATACAAATGTTCACCCTCAAATTTCGATCAGACATATCGATCTACAATTTACCTTCGCAATGTCCACAATGTCTGTAGAACCCAAATAGAACATTTTGAAAAAGCTTGCGAGCTCAATCGGTTCAGAAAGAGCCCACTAAGCCATTGTAAATTAAAGACACCGGTGATTTATTCCATGCGGTTCTCAAACACCTGCTTCCTGCAGTTTATTGACCTTAAAAATAGGAGCAGTATTGATCTCACGGTAGCTTCTGGCTTCTGTTCTGGTTACAACGTAATAGTAACAATGAAGCGAAGAAACCGTATCCCTTGTTAACAAGTAATCTATACCCGATAATTTTTTGGGGATGGGGGATCACCATAAGAGGGGATTTTGTTAACCCTGTGTCTTTCGTAGCAAGACTCTGGCTACCCCCTGCCTACGCACAGAAGCAAATCAAGTCATCTACGTTGAATGTCGGGCGGTTAAATGTCCGTTGGGCCCATTCATACCTAAAGTAGGCAGTTTCCTGGAGGGATTTTTCTCGGGTGATGTGGTGTAAGGGAAGGCGGTTCGGAAAAAAGTACTGTTGCAGGTGTCCAACACGCGTTTTGCATCCCAATTTGCAGCAACGCTGAGCCAGAAATGCGCAACAAAACAGCCATACCATCAGTTCGCGGTCAGTCATTCAGAGACAGCCGGACCAGAGCAGTGGCCACCGATGGCGGACGGGAACAGGGCTCAGACAGGGAAAATATGACAGAGGGCATTCATTCTGTGGCTTTCTTTTCAAAGGAGAATC